TAAATCTGGTGTCATTTACTTTACTGTTTTTATTTTTTCCGCATTTTATTTTTGGTTTAAAAACTCTGTGGTTGAAAAACGTTTTTTTATAAAAACTTAATAAAAAATATTTTCATTTCGGTTCAACACTTTTTCAAAGAGGGTCGAAATTTTTAAACTACCAATTCACCCCCCCTCTTGGTAGCCTTGGGACATTAACTTAGGTCTAACAACCTATTTACTAGACTCAAAAGAAGTTAACATAGCAAGGATTGCTTCTTGAATTGGTATCCCATTAATGATGGATGGGAATTTATTCCAATGGGGAAGGAGGGAGTTCGCTAGAGTTTGTGTACGGGTGAAGCTTGATCAACCTCTTCCTTTGGGAATTTGGATGGATAGCATTTCGGGAAGGTTCTTTCAAAAAGTTGAATATGAGAAAGTGGCAAACCTTTGCTTGGAATGTGGTTTGATTGGGCACTTGAAGGATGAATGTGGAAAAAATAGAAGCAAAACCAATGAAGTGAAGATTGTTGATAGTAACAATAAAGAAGCTGATGAAGGAAGAAATATGCAATATAAAGTTGATGAACCATCATATGGTACTTGGATTCTCATGAACAACAAGAAAGGAAGAAGGCTTGTTCAAAGAAGCAATGTGGTGAAATCCAGCAAAGCTATATATGTTAAGAAGAATGGAAATTAAAAAGCAGCTCAGAAAGAAGATTCGGGTTGAGATGAAGCGAAGAAAGACTCTGCCATCACAGAGTTAGCTGACCTGGGCAATGAAGAACAGTTAGAAGAAGGAGAATTGGTTTTAGAAATGGATCAACAAAATGATACAAATATTGGAGCTGATACTGTGGAGAGAGAAGATTTTTCAAAAAATGTTGAGGAAGATCATGAAGCTTCTACGCGTAAGACCTTTGTAACTGTTATTCCTAACATATCAAATTCTGATAATAAATTTGATATTTTGAATTCGGTCAGTGAAAATATGATTAATGAAGAAATGTTAGATGTGGATAATTATTTGGAAAAAATTGAGGAAAACTGTGATGGTATAAGAGTGAGGTCGAACATAGTTGAAAATGTTGATAGTAATATTTCTGTTAGCACTTTGGGAAGAGTTAAAAGTTCTAACCGGGAGTCTAACAAGATGAAATTAGCAAAAGAGCTAAAATCTCTTAGTCCCATAAAAAACATTCCGAGAGGGAGGAATTTTGATGGTGGTGGTAACAGAAGGAAGGAAGGGGCGGCATCTCCTAAGTTGTATCAATGAATTCCATAGGTTTTTGGAATTGTAAAGGGTCCAAGAAGAAAGAGGCCTCTCTATATCTTAAGGAGGTGATTAAATACCATGGTATGGGGTTGGTGGAAACTAAGATCAATGCATTTGATAAAGTTTCCTTTGAGAAGATTATGGGAGCTGATTGGGATTTCTATCTCATTCCATCTGATGGCCTATCTGGAGGAATTATGGTATTGTGGAGGTCTGATTTAGCTTCTTTCTCAGTTTTAAAGGAAGAAAATCAGTGTATTTTTGGAGATCTCAATGTCTTCAATAAAGGAGTGTGGATGATTGCTACTATATATGGCAACAAGGATGTTGTAAAGAGGAGAGATTTTTGGAGGAGTTTACAGAAGGTTTCCATTAGAAAGGTTCCTTTCATTTTTGGGGGAGACTTTAATTGCATCTTATCTCAAGAAGAAAAGAGGGGTGGAAGGAAATTTTTTTTTTCTCAAGGTCCAATAGAGATGGCTGATTTCTTAAATATGAGTGACCTCCATGATGTGGGATTTGTTGGTCAAAGATTCATGTGGTGTAACAATAAAACAGGAGGAGATCGTATTCTTGAGAGACTGGACATATGTTTGCTTAACTCTATAGCCATCAATAGAGTTAATGTAGCTGTGGTGAGACACCTTGCTAGAGTAGCATCGGATCATTGTCCTATAGTCTTGATGATTTTTTATAATTCTTATAAAAAGAATGGGATGCTTAAATTTGAAGATGTGTGGATTTCTTACAAAGCTTCTTCTCTCATTATTGCAAGAGTTTGGAGGAATGCATTCCAAGGTAGTGATATGGAGATTCTCAATAAGAAGTGCAAGAAAGCTTTGAAGGATTTGTTTTATTGGAGCAAGGCAAGGATTAGGGACTTTTCTTTGGACAAGGAGAAATTAAAAGAAGAAATCTCTCTGATTCAAGAAGGAGAGGCTTCGGTTGGATGGCTTACTGAAGAAAAACTTTGGATGCTGAGATCAAAAGTTAAAGAGCTTAATTCAGTACTTTCAAGGCTTAATACATGGTGGAGACAAAGACCAAATGCTAAGGGGATAGAAGAAGGTGACACTAATTCTAAATTTTTTCATTCTTTTGCCAACACAAGAAGAAATGGAAAAAGAATTTCTCAAATTAAAGATGCTGGGGGTGTGATCACTGAAGAACCCGAAGAGATGCATAAGGTGTTTTTCCAGTTTTTCCAAAATAAATGGAAACAGAGGACTTGCTGCATTGATAATTGGCCAAACCCACTAGCTATTCTGGATGATGCTGATAGAAGAATCTTGGAGGAGAAAATCTGAGATGTGGAAATTCTGGAAGTTATCAAAGGACTTGGCAATAACAAATCTCGGGGATCTGATGGTATTACGTATTCTTTTCTTAAAAATTACTGGAGCATTATTGGTATTGATGTTTGTAAAGCTGTTAGGGAATTTTTTGATTCAAGAAAAATGTGTAGTAATTGGAAAGAAACTCTTATTGTCTTGATACCGAAAATTACTAGTCCTTTAACTCCTGGAGGTTTCCGTCCTATCAGCTTGTGCAACTCCATTTATAAAGTAGTTGCTAAGGTTTTATTGAACAGGCTTTTGGTTGTTATTCCAAAAGTTATTACTGGCTCTTGAACAGGCTTTTGGTTGTTATTCCACAGGTTTTATTGAACAGGTTTCCGTCCTATCAGAAGAGCAGGTTGCTTTCTTAAAGGGGAGGAGCATTTTAGATCATTTATTGCTGGTACAGGAATTGGTCAATAAAATCAGGATTTCTAAATCTAAAAAAGGTTTGGTGGCTATTAAACTAGACATGGAGCAAGCCTACGACAGCATGTGTTGGAATACTCTTGAGGAGATGATGAGAAAACTGGGTTTTCTCGTGAGATTCATGAAGCTGATCATGGAGTGCATTGTGGAGCCTAGATTTTCAATTATCTTAAATGGAGGCTTATCCAAGTGGATTGAGGGGCGGAGTGGTTTCCGTCAGGGATTTCCATTATCCCCTTTTCTTTTTATCATTTGTTCCCAATTATTAACTAATGTCCTTGCTCAAGAGGGGAAGAAATTAGGCCTTAAAGTTGCTTCTAGAGGTCAGAAGATATCTCATTTGCTTTATGCAGATGATGTCCTGTTATTGTCTAATGCTAAGATTATAATCATTAAGGAGACGAAGTGCATTTTGAGAAATTATTGTGGATGGACTGGACAAAGACTAAACCTCAAAAAATCTGCCATGATTATTAGCAAGACTTTGGAAAGAAGAAGGAAGAAGAAAATTGCAAGAATCATGAAGATAAAGGTGGTAGAGGAGCTTGAATATTTGGGAACAAAGTTGGCTTTAAGAAGATTGAAAAAGTCATATTTTCAATTTCTATTGGATAAATCCTTGAAGATTTTAAATGCTTGGGGAAATAGATATATTTCTCTAGTTGGAAAACTTGTGTTTGCAAATTCAGTTTTTTGTAATCTGCCATTATATTTAATTTCTCATTCCATTATTCCTTTAAGTGTGCTGAGGGAATTTTAGAAATCCTGCAAGAATTTCATTTGGAATAATCAAGACGGTAAACAGGGGATGCACTATGTAGCTTGGGAAGAACTTTGCAAACCAAGAACATCCGGTGGTTGGGGTATCCATTCAGCTATTTGCAGTGTTGAAACATTGAGAGCTAAATTTTTATGGAATCTGGTTACCAACCCAAACTCCTTCTTAAATAGAAATCTCGTGATCAAATACGGTGAACACTGGTGGAAGAAAGATGTTATTAAAGGAGGTTCTTTGGCATGGAAGATTATTTCTAGTGGATGGAAATCTAGGAAGAATATTATCAGATGGAATGTGGTGAAAGGGACTCATATTAATGTATTGAAGGATGTTTGGATTTTTGACAAAAGCTTACTCAAATGGCCAACATTTGTAGCTTCTTTTAAAGAGGATAACATCACTCTGGATTATTTCATTCTTGAAGGCAGATGGAACATTGATAAACTTCTTCTTTTTGTCGGTGAAGACTTGGTTAATGTAATAAGTAACATTCAAATACATCAAGAAGAAGAGGAAGATTTTATGGATCTTAAATACAAGTTCCCTGGGAAATCAATTGTTGCATTGATTTAAGAAGAGACGGTGAGGATGGATGATGGAAATTCTTACTTATGGATTCATAAGATGAAATTGTATGCACGGGTGGAATTATTTACTTGGAGAGTTTGCAAAAATGCTATTCCAACAGTAGATTTTATGATGAAAAGGAGATTATATAATAATAATTTGTGTCCTAAAGGATGTGGAGAAGTGGAGAATCTAGACCATGTCACTACTAAATGTCCAAAGTTGTTAAGAATTATTTAAACTCTTCGGGAATGGGGTTTTCATATTCCCTTCTTTGATTCTTTTCAGCAATGTATGAATGAGTTACAATTTTTGTATGAGAAGAATCCGTTAATAGTAAAGATTTATTTCACCATGATATGGATTTCATGGAATGATAGAAATAAAAAAAGGCATGGTAAAAAAGAAGACAATGATTCAATATTGGCTGCAAATGTAATTAGCATTGTGGCGTTGGATAAAAGACACAAAGTGCTCTTGGAAAACTGGGATGCTATTCAATCCAATGGATTGTCTACAGATTTTTGGCATCCTCCACCAACCGAGTGGTACAAGATTAACATTGACGCTGCATTGAGGAGAAACTATGGAGCGAGCATTGGAGGAATTGTTAGAGACCATAGAGGAAGATTTATTCGTGCTTTTGGATTCTATGTGATGCATTGGGATATAGCACAACTGGAACTTTATTCTTTCAACTCTTTAAAAGATCTATTGCATAATTGTTTGGATAATGCCAAAGGTGTTATCATAGAGGGATACAATAAGAATTTTATTCAATTTCTTCTCAATATATACAACAAAGAAAAGAAGAAACTTGGAGACAATGGAGATGAAGACTTCTTATGTTTGAGGTATGGGAATAATGTCATTTTTAAATGTATTTGTAGGAAATGTAATAGGATAGCTAATTTTTTTGCTAACCTATCATTTTCTTATGATTTTATTTGGTACATTTTTTGTGAAACTCTCTTCCTTCGTCCTTTGTTAAACTTGTAAAGGAGGAATGTTTTTTGGAGTCCGCTACCTTTTAGTTTATATCTAGGCCTTAGTTGCTTTTTAATTTTAAATGCTGATTGCATTTCCTTAAAAAAAAAAAAAAAAAACTTTAGGAATGATAGCGATTTTAAGTATGTGTTGGATAATGCAGGCATCCTAAATTAGAGTATCAAATTTTATAACATGTAGCTAAGAGTATGTATTGGTAAAGGTCCAAACAAAATTTGTATTTACATCTATAACATGAACTTTTCTTTAAGTAGTGGAAATCTAAAGAAAGTCATGGAAGTTTTGGTAGTTAATCTCTACTAGCCTCTTACTAAAATAAGATTGGAGGGCAATACCCTCGCTATTAATTCTTAGGTTTACAAAAAATTTTAAAACCAATTAAAAATTAAATGGAAAGGCTACATTAAAAATAAAGGTAAGAGTGATATGGGCAAAAAAAGGTAGTACTTGAAAATTTAGATCCTATTATTTGATGACTTTAGAGGCAATAATTCGATCTTTATTATAGTGATGGTAGGCCTCTTTCTTCAGCATCCTCAGCAAAATTAGGATTAATTTGACATCACGGGGAACTCCCAAGAGTACTTGTAAACGCTTCCTACCATCTATTGCCATGAAATTAAACTCAAGTAAGAGAGGAGGAGAGTTGAAAGGATTGGAGTGAAGAATAAGCATGAGATTTGAATTGTGTATAAAGACTTAGCTAGATTGTGTAGTAGAATGTTAAATTGTATTGGTTGATATTCTCTAATAAATTTGTCCAATATTATTTAGTCAAAAAGTTGGTCTCATCATGCACTATGATCAAGATTATACTAGACGATTAAAGACAATGTGTTTATCTCGAGGTATTAATATGGATGATTATTAACTATGATGATCGTACAATATGAATAAGAGTTCATACAGTATGAGTATGGTATGTTATTTAATATCATACCTGCCAAATTAATTTCATCCAAAAGCTACAACCACATGGATCATATAATACAAAGTAAGTGTTTATACATTGCAATCACTAATAATTGAGAATATGAGTCATTGGATCCCTTATGGTTGGATCTGTAGTGATAGTTTTTAAAATCACACAGTATAATGTAGATTGTATTGTATAATCTGAGCAAAAATTAGATATGGCTATGAATGACCTGGAAAGCTCTAGGAAGGAAAATAAATAAAATCATAATAAAAAGAAAAATAAAACATAATAGAAATCAAGCAATAAATGGAAAATACACATAAAAAAATTTTAAAGAAATGATCACTTGCATTAAATGAAAATTTAATCTTATATTAAGAGCAAATACTCAGTAAGAAATTCATTGACACAACTAAGATACAGAAAGGTTAGAAATTTGAATTTTATCAACCCTATCTCAGGCTCCTTATAGGTAAAAGTCTTATTTAAATAAAAATCTAATTAAGAAAAAATATTAGAGAGGAAATGTGATCTTTGCATACTATGTTTCAAAATAATATCTACGAGAATAACATTGCAAAGTGATGAACCAAAAACCATGAATTTCAAATTATAAAAGAGTTCAACTAATGAAGTGAGTAGAGATCAAATTCTTAAATTTTAAAAGAAATAAAAATACTTAAAGAAAAAACATAAAACCCTAAAAGATAGAACTAGAAAATACAACAATCAAATTTTAGTTATTCAAAGCATTCGGTCCACACATGAATATTCATGACACCTAATATGGTTCTTATGGTACTGAATATGTCAAAATCCATAGGTTTGGTAAATATGTCTGCAACCTAATTTTTTGTCGCTACATGATGTAGATCTTTGTCTTCTTCGGTGACATGGTCCCTAATGAAATGGTGTGTTATGTCTATGTGTTTGTCCTTGAAGTGTTTGATTGGACTATTTGAAATATAGATTGCACTATTGTTATCATGTAAGATTAAAAGGGTGTCTAAAGGTAGTCCTAAATCAAAAATTTGTTTCTTTAATAAAAGGACCTGAGCCACAAAACTTCTTAAGGCTATGTATTCATCTACTACAATGGAAAGAGCTATTGAATTCTATTTCTGACTAGATAAGAAGACTAAAGATTATCCTATGAATTGGAAAGTTTCAAAAGTGCTTTTCCTATCAACCCTAAAACTAGCAATTTCTAAATCAAAATATCATATGATTACAAGCATAGTGTTCTGTCTAGGATACTGTATTCCCATG